GGAACATTATTATGCAATATAGTACAGTTCCTAGTCAAGCACAGTGAAAAATCATGTAGAATAGTATTTTGCTATATAAACATATAGCACACAATCAAATAGGAAAGCATTAGAAGGAAAGATATTCTGTATTTGGAATAAAGCATAGAATAATACAGATACTTACCTCAATATACACTAGGAATGGTAATATATGGCTGTATATGGTGATATCTTACTACTAACTCCCTCTACAATAATCAATCAATATAGTTTGTGGTTTATAATGAATTGTTGGGTTCACTACCATACAGTTAACAGATAGCTCTATAGAAATATCTCCACACCAACTCTCTACTGTCTTTATAGTAATCAATGAATGGAAGCCTAGCCAGTTTTCTATTACAATTTATAATATAAATTTAACTATTATGCTTGGGGTTACAGCTACATTCTATTTAACTCTATTAACTAACATCTGCAAAGAATTGGATTAACCTAATTTCATTATTTAGGGATTAGGCTTAACATGGGTTTGGGATAGGAGATTATCAAATATTAAATCATAATTGACCTCTATGAAAGTTCAAAACCGCGATATCTTGACAAAATTTAGTTGAGAAATTCATCATCGAGTAAAAGTAATGTGCATATTTTTTTGGAAAATGTAAATGTTTCAGAAATTTCAATGTAATGAAAACAAAAAAAATCATACTATGTATTGTGTCCCAATAACCACATGATATACATGTCGGAGAAACTTTTAAAAAATAACACCTGCTTTGAAAATATGTAAAATCAATGGATAAACCATTCAGTTTGCTTGGAATTTCTGCATATTTCAATACTCTGAAAACTCTCCTATAAACCTTATGATGCCAATAAAGCAATGTTTTAAAAATGGTAAAGTTCCACCATAAGAGTTCTAGTCAACTTACAGAATCTCTGATCAGATCTGTCATATTAAAATTTACCTGAAATATTACTTGAACCCTATACAAAGCTATTGTCTATATCAGATCTTCAAAACTATACTCTTATTTTGTAATTTTTTACAAGGGCAACAACTCAAAAACAATCAACACACTTGTCCTTATTATCAACATTATAGGCCTACATAGGCATTGCACAAAAAACTTCGATCCACCATTGAGACAAGCTTAGGGCAATGAACTTCTTGACTGAAAAAGCAATTAGTTGTTTCACCGAATAGGCCAACATGTAAGCCAATGATGTATGCCACTGAGTTCAATCAAATTCAGATCAAAACTTAAGCCTCTATAAAATCACTAATCTAATGTTGCACCTAACATGGGTGCACAACCAGGGGTAATGGAAATTATTTTAGGACTACCCATATGCCATCCACATGCACTTAATATTTAGTATAACTTGTCTTTTAACCACTCCAAATTGATAATCAAAAATAAATGTTCTGTTGTGTGTCATTAGCTTTCAATGTCTACAGCCTTCAGTATATAGAAATGAAATTGATCATTTTATGTGTCACAGAAAATGGCCCACTGTCAATGAAAAACAGGTTAAAATTTCCATTCACCAGAACTATTTTGGAGTTGTCATATTGATTGATTGAACACTACTAGGCCTACTCAATGACTAACCTAATAGTGGCCCTACACCTACTTTTTCTATTCATAATTATACTCTCTCTACTCTCGGCTAATTTAGGCAATAGGCTAATAATTTACTGTTGAAAACATCACAGAAACACACTGATAGTGGCATGACACAGGTTACAAATTGCTTTCACCTAAGATTCAAGGAAAGTTTAGATCTACTTGCGTTTTGATGGTATAATAATATTAGTCATAATTAGGTTTTGTCAACCACCCAGGTAACAACCTGGGCTTTGAAATGTGTCTGGATAATAGAAACATCATCAAACTGCAACTTGTGCATACCAAGACTTAACATTTTCCACAAGATATATAATAATAGATAAGATGTAATCTAATAAGATTATTAATTCATTGTTCTATTTAGCTAATAAATGGGGTAGTGCCATTCTGTTATTTATAGACTAGTAATAAGATTCGAGTTGTGTAAATTTAAATAGTCGAAGTTTGTAGTTCAAGGGAGATAATAACATTTTAAAATAAAATTATTCCAGACCTACGGTAGATTGTCATGTCTGTATTTTAGTAATCGTATTTGTAATGTTCAAATTCCAGCTGCCTAAGGAAGAGCTAGGTGATGAGTTTCATGATATATTTAATTGCAACTTTTTTGGTATAGAAGAACATAAATTTATACCTGACCATATCTATAACAACAGAAACATTATAAGTCTGAGTTAATAGTGAAGATAAATAATTATGCTAAATTTTAAAATTGTCATGTCTGTATTTAAGTAACCGTATTTGCAATGTCCCACGTCCAGCTTCTTACACCAACTTCATATGTAAAGTATATATGTTTGTGCAAGCTTTATATTTGTAACATTTATATTTGTTGTATTTATTGTGTGAAGTTTATTGTACTATTAGCCTATGCCTCGTGTGCGGCCTTCAGTGAAATAAAAAAAGTTTCAAAGTGAATCAACTTCAACAGTTAACTGTCCAAACAAGGAGTTATTATAACTTTATTGGTGCAAGCTTCAGCTAGTGACCTATATTTCTCAGTAATCAAGAACTGAAATCCACAAGACTTCATACATGTTGTAGCCATTCTAGATCTAGTTTTGCTTTGGCTACCTAAGATAGAAAAAAAATTAGCAAAAAATATCGCAACTGTTGAGTGTTAAGCCTATGCAAATTCAAATGCTTCATGCATTGCGAGAAGAATGATTTTAAGCGAAATGTATTTTTCTGAATTTAGTCCAGTTCAAGCAAGAGAAGTAATATTGATATTACTCTTACTCTTCTGGATACTTGATGCCGCTTTTCATAATAGAATGATTCCTCAAGGTTGCGAGTGTTTATAAAAAAACAATTCTTGTCATAATATTACTTTTGTGAACAGTTCCCTCCCTTGAACTGTTAAAATTAAATGAAAATATTTTCACCAGTTGCCTCCCTTATACTGTTGAAATTGGTTTGTATTTTGCCTACCTTCATGATGTGCATGGCGCTAGGCAGGGAATGCTTACTCCTCTAGACACCTGATACCACTTTTCATTTTGAAATACTTTCTCAGATATCAAATTGAATTTTGAACGATGTCTTTATTTCTACGATGACACTTATTTTAAGCAGCACCTAACTTTAAGTTTAAGTCCAGTCGGTTTTCAGTTATGCATTAACCTGAAATACTGATTGAAAATGAGCTGTTTATGAATGGTAAACAAAATGAGCATGACCGTTATGTATAATTAATAGATTTATTTCATTTTTCTGGTCGATACCTTTTCGCTTCCACTAATAATTAACTGTCTCAAACTAATCCCAAATTGACTTTTCAGCAATATGGTGTCTTTGGTTTGCCTCTAGGCTAATGTCCTCTGGCGAAGGCGATAATTCAAACAATAACAATCTCTTGGTTCGATGGCATTAATTCGCAATAGAAAAGTTCACCGACGTCGAATAGAAACTAGACATCTCCAAGACGTTTTACACAATGATTTATAAATTAAATTGGATTAAATTAGACTGAAACTTCTCTATTGGCCAGATGTTTTTATTTGGATCAAGACACCGCATCTGATTTCCTGGATAGTGGTATCTTCCAGGGGTAATAATAATTCGGCATCTGCTATTCATGAACATCATAAATTCATGAAAACGAAACTAGGCTAGACATGAACTGAGATAGATGATTATAACTATTAAGAACCAAAGATATATATTGGTAAGTGATACAGTTCCTTTCATGCGAGTGGCAGTTGGAAGCCTAGTACAATATTTTAGATTATAAATTAAGAACTTAAGGTCAATAAGGTTAAGAATGTTTAAGAGAAGAGAACAATAAATTAACAACAGGGCTCCAGAAATCGATTTCTTCGTCTTCGTTGAAGGTGTAAAGAAGGAGATGGAATACCTACCGTGAAAACTCCCCAAGATGAGCCTGGTTTGGATTCTCTGCTGGAATAATTTGACAACACTTAAGTGACTGATACGTTCCGTTAAAATACCATGATCCCCGGTTAAAATAATCATAAAGAATATGTAATGTTGTGGTAAGCATGTGTCCTATTTCTCATATCTTGGTGAGCATTTGTCCTGTGAACAACTTTACTGTCCGGCGAGCATCTGTCCGTAACACATAACATCAGTCGCTTTGAGATAGAGATGTTATGGTTGTAAGGGCAAAACGAACACACCCAAATACTACAGTCATTGTACAAAGATTATGTTCGAGCCAATATCAATAATTGTTTATTCATAGTCAAAAGCTTTTTGTTCTCATGTGTTCCGATTTCAAGTCTAGAGTAGGACACTATTCAATATTCAGTGAAAACATTTAGCTTTACCTATTCAAATACCAACAATGGCTGTTCTTTACATTTGTACACTTTTTGCCTTGTTGTATTATACAGGGTTCATTCATGTCTAAATATATTGATATCTATATGTTATTTCCATGTTATTAGGATCACTAAGAAGATCCCTTCATAAAAAGTCTCTTCAAATATGGGAGGGGAACGTTGATAGACATTATAACTAGTGTTTTGGATATAAACAAAGTCTTGATACAAATTTATTTCGTAACTAATTATGGAAATATTTTTGTAAGATAATCTTAAATTGATGATGTTGTTTTTTCCAGTTCTTTTTGGGATTAATGTAGTTTATAAATAGTGAAATGTGTTACTTTTCAATGTGAATGTTCAATCATATAAATGTCATTTCGGTGAAGTTATTCTTAATATTCGCAGTGAAAAAGTTTCGATATTCAAATAGTGTTTGATCAATTTCTATTGTTTATAATTCAATTTCTACCAGAAAACGTCTGGTAGTTCGATTCAATATTTATATTAATTGATTAGATATTCGCGTTATATTCGGTATTTATTTTCTTTGGCAAATGAAAATGTGACTTATGTGGAATTATGTGTTTCTATCATGACGTCATCCACCAATCCATCTTATGTAAGTACTACATAGCTTGTCTATTAAATATGTTCCAGGTAATGCCTTGTCTGATTCCATATTGTTATTAAGACTTTTTCCAAAAGAGGAAATTAACTGGAATCTTACGTCCTTCCTCTATAATTTCCTTTCTAAACGCATGAAGAAGAAAGAATCGCCATGGAAATACCAAATTTATGTTTCAACCCGAACCAACCATTTGCTTACACAATTGTGCTTAAACGGTTTACATTTCTTGTGGCTCATGCCTTCTAAAATAGTTCCAATTCTGACATTCTTCACATGAATGAAGGCCAAACCTTCTACATTCACCATATCGTCTATATATTCATATATATTTATATATTAGCCGTGGATGTAAGAAATATAAATTAATTTTCTATCAACCAAACGAACCAAAACTTCAAATCGAATTTTGGAATAAGATTTGGCATTGTTAAAGTGGCACATGTGAAGAACACTTTTGATATTATTTTATGATGATGTGATACGTTATAAAGGTGTGATTGTTTACTATGATTGTTTACTTAGACAATGATCTCAAACGGTTAATTACCTCAATAATACGAGATTTATGGAGTTATCTTGTTTGACTTCATTGAAGTTATTTGTTAGTCTTGTATCATAAAACTCGTATCTTCAATGGTTATTAAAATATGTTGATTTAGGGGCTGGTGTTTATACATATAACATACACATCAGATCATTATAATCCCATGTAAGTAATTTTGAAGGTGCAGAACGAAAAGACGTATTTACAGATAATTTTCTGAAGCTTCTCTCATTCGTCAACTGATGTATTATTTTGTTTAGTCATATAGTAATGTATAATTTGCTATAATAAATATATACGTAAAATTTGAAGCATTATGTTTTGTAACGAATGTAAAATTTGTAACATTACTTACAGAATATGTATCGTATGAAACATTGTGTATGTATATTTAGTATGTACATTTTGTAACATTGTGCATGTTTACTTTGTATGTACATTTTGTAACATTATGTATGTATATCTTTTCAGATGGTGGCCGGATATTACCCTGGAAGTGACCCAAATCAACAAATAGCAAACAACCAACCAACTGCTTATTCAATAACCCAAAATACACCAGCAACCCACCAGCAATCAGCGACCCAATCCAGTCAGGTACAAAATCCACCATCAGCCCCAAGTAGTCAAATTCTACAAGGTCAAGCATATTTACAAGTATCCAACAACCAAGGCTACCCCCAATATACTGTCAATGGTCAGTTCGAAACATCGAATACCGGTATTTATCCAACCGAAGGTTCAAATCAATACGTTCCTGGGAATATTCAGAACGGTCATGTTAATATTGCTCAAAGTGTGCCTTATTCCGTAGACACCAACTATTACTCTGGCAACAATTCACAACCAGTTCCTCTGAGTGCAGCTGTAAACAGCCAATATCCAGCTGTAGCCAACCAAGTCAATACAGGAAACTATTACCAACAACCGACCAATTCAACGAATTACCCAACTGTTGTTTATCCCACCGGATACAACCAACAGTACGAAGCAAATACCCAATTAAATCCCCAAAGCGTTCACATCGACCAACAGCCAACACAACAATACCAATTGAATCCTGAAAGCGTTTACATCAACCAACAGCCGACAGTTATCAACCAACAACCAACACAAAATTACCAATATTACGTTCCTCAAAGTAATACAGGTGGAAATAATCCATATATAGCGGCAAACGGCCAATATATACTTGTCAGCGATCCGTCTTACGCTGATAACAGCAAATATTTAACAGGAAACCACCAGCAATATCAACAGTACACCAACGAACACCCGCGGTATCTCTTGAACCAGCCAGAAAAACGGCAAAGCCGAACTGAACACAACAAAGACGTTAAAGAGAGTCGTCAATATTTAAAAGGTAACAGTTCACACAATCTATCAAATAATTCCAAATACGATCCACATTTTTTTCAAAACGGAAATCACACAACTGATAATACCGAACATGACTCTAAAAATATTCGGTACATCAACGGTTTAAGTGAATACTCTTCTCAAAACTTGCCAAAAGCATTGCCTTATGGCAAACCCACATTAAAGACAAAATCAGCTGATCTCGATAAAATTCGGTATACGAAGAACGATCACCAATTACCTCCTGGTCTTGATAATTTTGATAAAGCCGACGAGCAAAAAAAGGACATTGTAAAGGTTCAAAAGAAACACAAAAAAGAAAGCGTAGTTAACGGTCTTCAAGTACCGAAACTTGACCTCAAACTTAGTAAAAACTCTAACGACTTCTCTATCCAATCCGGAAGTGACGAGGACTATTGTGGTTTTTATCCGAATTCACCAGTTAAACAAAAGCCAAAGGGTTTGGTCAATGTGATCTTGCCAAGGAAACAAAAGCGTTTGCATAAGAGAATGAAAAGTCATTCAAAACATAAGTCTAGTTCTAAATCTTCTAAAAAGAGACACGCAAAAGAGGTTCGCCGTGGATCAGAAGCCGATTCTGAAACCGAAATGAGTACAGGTGCATCTGAAGTAAGCGTTATGAACAAACCTCCAAGAAAACTCTACCGAAGTTACAAAGACTATTATGATCCAGAGACTAAAGAATCAGGGAAGGATCTTCGACTATTTCGACGTGAAAAACGTCAGACACGTGCAAACGTTCTCAGTCGAGCTGAACTATTGCTCGATAAGCGCAAACATTACAATCGTCTTCAGTCGGAAACTAATTTTTCTACCTTGTCGGAAGTAGAGACTGGCTATCCAATGTGTGTAGCGAACCCAAGTCCGGCGCCGTTTTATGACAGCGGCGTTGACATTTATCAACCTGCCAAACAACGAATAAAATCAAAATCAGTACCCGCAATACCACACGGTAACTATCAAAAGCAGGCATCACAAACTTCATTTTATAGTGTCAAAAGTAATCAAAAACCACCCAAAAACACCTCAACCCATCTTGTGAGGCAAAATAGTGTGCATGCACGCGCCTTAAAAACGAAAGTGTTTAATTATGGCGATATGACCTATACGTATAAAAATGCTGTGACTGATACACCCAAGGCACCAAAATCGACAGTCGGAATATTGACCATGAACGCCTTATGGAATCTGCGTAAAGAGGAGAAAGGTGTACTGAGTGATGCTAGTTTTGACGCTCGGGCATCGTATTTAATGCCCGTTGGTGATGTGGACAGTGATGCTTATTCCGATGAAGGGAAAAACCATTATTCGCTAACAAAGCAGTGGAACGATAATCACCCTCCCCACAATATTGACACAAATAGATCTTCAGATATACTGGATGTAAAGGAAAATAACCGGAAAAATATAGGCTTGAAATCTTTCCGAACTATGCAAAAACAAAGAGGTATACAGAAAGGTCCACAGACGGTAAGCTAAAGTTTCTTTTTAACTTTTTTTGATTAAGTAACTCGTGTTTTGGTTTTATGCTGTTGAATTACCTTTTTTCCATTATGTCTGTAAGTGTGCCATAACTCAGTCTTTTGTTCATGCTGAATGAGTAACAGGAAGTGACAAAAATACAACAATTGCACCCCAAAAGTGTTTTGTCGCTCAAATTGAAAATGACAAACACCACTTTGTCATTTAATTGTGTCTCACATGACCTCAGGGCTCAAATGGCACATATTCAATGTCTGATAATCTGGGGAAGATCCGTGCCAAGATAGCTGGCTGAAAGGATCCTAAATTGTTATTAAGTTATCCCTGTAAAATATAGTTGTTATCCTGTCTGTCTTTGACTCTGAGTTTTGTGACATTTTAAACGCCATAGTTGACCTGCATGATAACAAAACTACGACCTATACATGAGTATGTACATTGTAGTTACGTTATGAGTTCCTAATATCTGGATGGAGTTTAGCTGAAGAATGCGAGCTCTAATTTCGACACCCTGTATATATGATACTTACTTATATCCTTGGCCATTGCTTTTGACTATGTTTTCGGTCTCATTACAATAAAACTTCTGTATACAATTCAGCCTCTAAGACAATTAAGATATAGCATACATACATGTTAATTTTGTATATTATTCTGCTAAATTGTATATCATGATAATTTGACAATTTGCTTCATTAAGATGAGTTTCCTCCCTTGAATTAGTTCATTTACAAATAATTCATTTTCAGCAAGATTATTGTCTGCGACCAGGAATCATTATTATTTTCTTTACATTAAGAGTATCTTGATGGGGTTAAGGTTTTCTAGATGACCAGTCTTCAGAAAGTCGACCAACCCAGAAATCACTAACCTTGCCTTATATGGTTTTACAATTTAAGATGGTTTCAAAAGATGAATGTATCATAGGTATTATACAGTGCAATTTCGACTTTACTTCCTTCTTAAAGGTATACTACCTCTTAGGATGACCAAATGGCCAAAATGAGTCCTTGTTTATCAGTGGACTAAGCTAGTGTTATATCTATAGGACAGAGTCCCTATATAATCCAAAAAATCCATAAAACTTTGTAATAATCCATCCACTAAGTAATTTGGAGGCGTTCTGGTCCAATTTCTTCTGTATTGGCAATAACGGCAAACTTAATATGGTTGGTTTTCTGGATGCCTTGGATCCACTGGAAACAGTTTGACCACCTAATCGAGGTCCTATGCAGGCGGGTGGTTTTACCAATGTTAAATGTTAAATAAATATTTAATAATGTAGTGACATTCTTCGTCTCCTTTGGAACGATTTAAACTGACCTAATTCGACAGTGTCGTGATATTGGCTCGACCTAGTTGTATATGACCAGTAATACATCCGTAAAAGATACTTAGAAATGTATGTAAATGTCTCAGAAAACAGATCTAAGTTAGTTAGTCTTGTAAAATTTCTCACAAAATTTTACTCTGTACAGTTAGGGTTTGGTAATTCGGTCACGTAAGATATGACCTATTACCGTGCGATCAAATTCCTGTAACCATTTATCTATAACCATATTTACTTAGTATTTGACTGTAGCCAACAACATTTATGACCAAATTACTAAAGAAATTACTGTTTGGGTGATTTTACTGTGACTAAATTTCCTGAAAGCAATGCGAAATATACGAAACATTGTAAATTTGTTTGATAATGAATGTATGCTTCAAGTTTCAATGGACATTTTTTTTAGTTAATCATACCAGTGACACAATTACCATCAATGTCAATTCTTAAAACCAAGAATGGTGTCGTTAAATGATCATGCTGGTAAATAACATAGAAAACGTCGCGTCGATCCAGAAAACAGGATGTAGTCAGAAGAGTTCGAAACAGTTTTCTTGAAGTGGATTATTTTGCGTCGCACCACTATAGAGTGCAAACCTTAAAGATCATGAGTAAAAACCATGTATCTGATACTGTCAGCACATAGAACATAGAAAGCAATAAAAGACAGTCGATGGGTTCACTTATACATATTGCCCATTAGGTCATAGGAGAGATTGAATATGAAAAACACAGATTTTGTTTGATTTTTTTATTCATATACACTGTACATATGAACTGTATAGCTTTTGCCCAGGTATCCCTTTTCGAAGATAAGATATTGTTATGTGTTTCATGTGGTGCACTACTATTGTTGTTGGAGTTGACAAGTTAACGCCCACCGACTATACTGTTGTGGGAGGAGTTTGTCTGTTATAGTTTGTCGTACTCTTGTCATGCATCTATTTCAAGGTTACGTCGAGCCTTTTCTGTATGTGTTAGCTCGAACTCGATACACTTCAATTGATGAGACTTTTGTTATTTGGGTTTTTTTTTAAATAAAATACATATTCACTAGTATTTATACTGAAAATGTCTTAAATGTTGACCCAAGACATATATATGTACCCAGTGAAACCGCGTCGTACTCCTGTTCCCTTGACGACAATAACTTTATGTATAAATCATTTGACAAACATCTGTAAATAAAAAACATATCCGATTTCTTTCATCCAGAAAGATACAAATTTATTGTTTTAAATTAGCGATTCGTTCAAATCTTATCAAGTATTAATCATGTCAGATAATTAGTAAGTATGTTCTGTAAAGGATGCATTCAACTGATACGTACCTAAGACGTTAATTATTCACACGATTTTATTTGTTGCCTCTCGACTCCGATGTAGTAAACGAACGACATCGATATTATCGTCTGATAAGTTTTTTTCTAACATTATCACACACGAATCCTTTACAACAAGACGGAAAGGATCCAGTGATCTGAAGACATCCTTGTATCGCTATGGCTGATGAAGTCAAACCATCGAATAAAATGAGCAGAAAAAATAAGGTAGGATTTTATTTGTGACTCGAAATGAACAGAATTTTACCCTTGTCTTTGTCTCCTCGTAGACGAATAATGAATATGGTGTGAATTTACTTAAGATTTTTTCAAAAATAGTCAAACCTGCAGTTTCCAACCATTTGATCCATTAGTGGTTTTTTTCTGATGGTTACCTGGCCTTGGTCTCTTGAATATGTCAGGTAAACATAAATTAACGTCTCTGAACTCTGAACTATAAAGACGCTATCGGAATTAGAAACAAGAACTGCCACAACATGTCAAAGGAACATTCACACCATTCAATAATCACACCTAATCGGTTAGAAGCTTACTAGCAAGATTACTGGTAGCCATAACAGTCCAATCGTGTCGGCTGTTCTGATTGTAGGCTATATGAGGCTCAATGAGTTAGTTCTGGGAGTAAAATAGAGGGCATGTCCAATACCGGCAAAGATCGCGGGATGTGACGCACCAACCCTCACCTATGATCACTTAAACGAACATATTTATTGTGCAAGGCTTATTGGTTACAGTTGATGATAGGATACTTAGTACAATTTGATCTTAATAGTAGACGAAAATACTGGCTTAGGTAAAGAATACTCCTATACGTGACACAACAAAATGGTCTCAGGTTGTGCTGAATTGTATAACAAATATAAACTTTAACTTAGAATCAGACTGACAGATTATAGGGGGCAACTGGATATTCATGCAATTAACTGAAAGTATCCCAGAGAATCTTGTCACTCGCTGGATTAAGCCGATATGAGCGCCCCGCGACTGAAAAATGGCAGTAAACATCAGTTACTCATGTTATACGTTCTAAAATAATCTATTTGCTCTGGATATGAGCGTTAGTAAACAGAAACAGATTGAAAATGAGCTTTAGCAATGATATCATAAAGAGTAAAAACAGCCTAATATTTAGTTGTGGGATAAATGCATATAGGGCTTGAATTTACTGTTGTAGTGACAGTTAACACATATTGAACTATTTACATTAAGAGCATCAATAAATATTGAGCTTCCTCCTTGAAATAGATAGCACATACTTCAGTTTTTTTTTTCAAGTTGATAGGCGAATAACAGCGCGACCGATAACTCGTAACTTCTTGATGATTTCACCAAAAGAGTAGTTCCTCGTGAACTTATTTTTTTGAAGGGAGAATTCAACCTTTTGAATATAATTCTAATTATTTTTTTATTATGTAAAATAGAAGAAATGCGTTGAGTGTAAAAGTGACTAAGAATGGCGTCCATTGCTATATGGACAAGAGGTCAAAAGTCGCATTTTTTAAACTGTATTTATATATGTATAATACGCTGTATTAGAATACTGATATAATTGCTCGATTTGCTAATAGTAGGGAGTGGGCATGTTTTACATGACTTGAAAACTAAGAATGACACAGCGCAACTGAAGGATGACAGTCGTCAAGCAACGATTTGTTGATGGCAAGCCCAGCTTCCTCTGCGGGACTAATTGATGGCGTCGAAAGTAATGGACCATAATGGCAGTTTACAACAATCTGTTTAAATTCATAATTAATGAGAAAAAAGGGAAGTATATACTTACTAAATTAACACTACAGTCAATTAAAAAAAAAACTAGGTGTCCTAAACTAAAGGGACATTTCGTTTTTTGTAGATCGAAAAAGATTTTGCTCAAATTTTTTAACACTGTACACCAAAACCTAACAAAATGTGCCCTTAAAATTAACTGAAAGTTTTAACTAAAAAATTCAGCCGTTAATTTTTAAACGCAAAACAAATTTAAAAATATTTAGTAAGATTTTTAAATTCGTTAAAACTTATTCAGTTCGATCAAAAAGATACATAGATATAAATAGCATACTTTAGACCACGTTTTTGATTATGAAAACATTTTACGAATAAGCGGAAGGTCCCTTTAAGTCGAATTTAGATGTATGCTCAAGATGTATTTGCCGTCATTTTCATCTGTGTTGACAATTCTGTACCTGGCACAATTCCTTGTCATTCCCACCTTAAGCTATAAAATACTCTTCAACCGGAGTAAATAAATTGATTATCTCAATACCTTTTTCTAAGGTCCGGGAGGTATTTCATTGGTTCCAAAGTCAAGAACCTATCCATCTATCATTTTAAAAAGTCTATTTGATTTATACTGTTTATTGCCTTCGGGAGAAAAGATTTTCCATGGTTGGATGGACAAGTATGACCGATAATTGAATTCCAAGAGCTGTTCATTAATAAATGATGCTGATGTCTCAACACTTATTGTTTGATCGTAACCTTTTAACCGACATCTTCAGATAGGCTAATGACAATTTTGAATTGAGTCTTCGAAAGTTTCGGAGCTCTTTGAAATTGTTACTTTAATTTACAGAAAATCATCATTAACTTCTTTCATTGGTCATTGACTGATAGAAATTGAGGTTAAAGGGATCCGAGCCACTCGGCTCCCCCCTTCGGATTTGAGAGGGAATTAATTTCCCCCCCTGGAAAATTTCTAATCATTGAAGGCGCAGAATTCATCCAATGCATTATAGCAGTTAAAGTAAAATACATTTATCTATTTTCGGTCGTGGGTAAACATGCCCCCCCCCCCCCTCCCCCCCTCAATACGCCACTGATATCAATACTTTTTGCTGAAGCCCGGGAGACATTATTCAAACCTCTCCATTCAAACCTCTTATCATTTTAAAAAGTCTCTTTGATTTATACCGTTTATTGTCGTCGGGAGAAAAGACTTGCCATGCTTGGAAGGACAAGTATAAATTTTACAAGATATTTGAATTCCAAGAATTGTTCATTAATAAATGAAGTTGATGTCTCAACTGTTTGATAATAATTGTATAACCCACATCTTTAGGTCATACCATGACCTTGTCCACTTTTAATTGCGTCTGGAAAGATCTGGAGATCTTTGAAATTTTACTTTGATTAGAGAC